AGTGGATAGGAAACTTCTTATGTGGCCGCAGACAGAGAGTTAGGGTCAATGGGACGCTATCCGATTGGAAGCCGGTCAAAAGTGGTGTACCCCAAGGCACCATATTAGGCCCTCTGCTATTCCTTCTCTACGTAAATGAATTACCGCTGTTGCTTAGGTCGTCGACATTATTATTTGCGGATGATGTCAAAATATGGAGAGCAATAAGAGGTGAGGCTGATCATCTGGATCTTCAATCTGACTTAGACGATTTAGTTAGATGGGCTCGAGATTGGGGTTTAGAAATCAATTCTAGGAAGAGTGTGCTAATGCACATCGGTCACGGCAATAATTACCATTATACTATTGATGGCAAACCTCTTCCATGCGTTCAAGAACATAAAGACTTAGGAGTAATAATAAGTCATGATTTAAAAACAACTGCGCACTGCAACGCAGCCGCTGTCAAAGGTTTTCGTGCGTTGTGGTCACTTCGCCGAGCGTTCAAATCCTTTGACGAGGAAATGTTTCGAATTTTATATCCCACCTATGTAAGAACCACATTTAGAGTACTGTATTCAAGCAGCTAGCCCATATCTGATAAAGGATACTACCTCACTTGAGCGTGTCCAGCGTGTGGGAACGAAATTAGTGAAGGGTCTTTCTAAACTCCCTTACGATGAGCGTTTAAAACGCTTAAACCTTTTCCCCTTGTCGTATCGTAGGACTCGAGGTGACCTTATACTGGCATTTCGTATCTTTAATTATGATTTGGGTGTTAATATGTCTTATCTTTTTGCTCCCTCCAGCACTAATAATCTCCGAGGTCATAGCAAGAAGGTTCACAAACCACGATCTAATAAACTCAAGGTGGGGTTCCGTTTTTCTCATCGAGTAGTCAATGATTGGAACGCTTTGCCCGATCAAGTGGTATCAGCCCCATCAGTGAATATTTTCAAAGAGAAACTGGACCTTCACTGGAAGGCAATCTGTTAGGATTAACACAGGTTCACTAACCTACTATCCTTATTACTGAAGACTGAAGACTGAAGACATTTGAAACTTTTTGAAACATTGTACACTTTGGTAGCCGCGTAGTTCATTCATGGACGGTACATCGGGATGGCATTAGGACGCAAGAATGCTGTAAGTTTGTTTCTTATTTCTTTTGTTTACTGAGTCAGCTCTATACCTTCTATTTGTACTAAAATTTTTTAAGTATATTTCACTTTGCTCCCAGGAAGTGGTGATATGTTTGCTAAGACCTATATTCTGGTAAGTTTAGTAAGGCATTTGAATTTAAACACACGTTAGCTACATCTAGTATGAACTGTATCCTCAGACTATGTAATAATATAAATTTCAGAACCGTTGTTGTTGGATTAATAGATGAGATGAATGTCAGTCACCACTGATTCTTCCTTGAAATATTAAGATGTCCTCCTGTGTTGAGAAAATGTATATTCAGTCGGCAAATGGACTATTTTAGTGCAAAGTAAATAACAAAGTATTCATTGACAAGGTTTTGGTCAGGAGAAAGCCAAGGATAGATTTGTTTGCCCAACTGTAATTGCTTTTCATCCACGAGTTGTTAAGACATAGTTTAACCATGAGTCCGGATGATATAATCCTTCTTCATCTACTTGTCTTCAAGCACCTGAAAAGTATCGCCAACCTGCTCTCAAACATTAAAGGCTGGAGCAGTACATAAACCCTTGGTATATGCAGCACAATATGGTTTATTTCAGCTGTCACGTTTTCTCAACCACTGATTCTTACCGTGTGTAAGTTCGATCTGAGGACACCGCATTTATTTTTTATTCTGAGACCAGTAGTCACTGTCTAATAAGTGAATATTGATGTCTTTTTTATTTAGTTTACCTCATGCACTGGGTAGATAGTCAGGATACTTAACGCGTCCTGATTGTTAAAGTTTCGTGAGGTGATTCTATGATTTATGGACGAACCATGAAATTAACGAAAGGTAGTCTAAGATTTTGGCGTGTAGTTCATTCATCTATATGGCTAAATAGCACTTTTGCATCGTAGCTGGTGTCAGTTTGTGTTAAAAACCTTTATTCTAATTCTTAATCTTAACTTTAGCTCTAGATTCCAATCCCAGTTCCTCATACTAATTTACATTCTTCTCTTGAGCTTAGTAAGCAAGTGTTTTTACCCAAGGTTATTTTAGCATCGCTTAAAGGTTGTCCACAAATTTTAGTCTCACCGCTCGTGATACCACATACCATTGTATCTTGTTTGTTTGAAAAGTTGGTTTTTAATGAGATTGTAACTAACACTGAAAATTGTATGGGGATTAGTAACAATAAACATAGATGTGTCCATCAATAGTACTGCTTTCTTATATTCAAGTTTGATACTTAAGAAGTGGACCAAACTCATTCTGAAATGATTTAAAATCGATCTTGTCTGCTACAAGTCAGGTGTATTTAGGTATCGTCTGTAAATAAATGAATATAGATGAGCACACTTTAAGTATATATAGTCGCAACAGATGCTGTAGCCAATTTGCTTACAATGATCCGTTTTAGACGATAAGTCTGTTGGTCACTGAAACGCAAGATAAACTCAAACGAGGGCATGGTCAGAATCCAGATAGATACTTCGAAAGGAGCGGTAGTACTGTACACGACCACACCAGTAGTAACTGATCCAATTTGCAAGCAACAGGTCCCCATCAGCCACCTAAACAACTCTTCTGCACCTAAACATTCGACCTGTGCATACAAGTCTCCAGCTAGTACTACAATATCGATCGAACGCACTTTCTGCAGAAAATTTATCTGGTGGTCAAACTCATCCTTGATTGCATCCGAGGTGCATTCTTTTGTGGCGTAGGCAAACATTAACGGAAAGACATCGTATTTCACACCGATCTCTTCTTACTTTGATGGAACATTTTAATCTAACAATGCATAATTGTCTATTGATGAGGGTTCAATCGATTATTTCTACCTTATCTCTGACGCTTAATGCAACTAAAACCAGATGGTGTCAGTGTCCCCGGGTAAATGCATGTGAAATAAGCTTTTCTAAGTGACATATGGAGAGCAAATTTTTAGTACTTCAGTATAGTTTTGAATATAGGTACCGGATAGACAGTATACACCGATGTTGAAACTTTGTAAAGACATAGCCATCCCTGTCTGTTGTCCGATCTGCATTAGTGTGCGAACGTTGAACGAGGCTAGTTTGAATAGTATAAGTGGTTCCAGAAAGTCTTTCAGATTTCATATTCAATGGTAGTGCTCCAATTTCGACTGGTCAGTGACTCGAGATCGTTTAGGTAGAACAGGTTTTCTACCGTTGGCGAGCTGCTATGGAAGTTGAAGAATAAAGGAGTGTACAAAATGGGTATAAACTAATAGACAAGTGACAGAATGTAAAATAAAAATGGGTATTAATAAGTAGTTTTATGTGATTTGCGGGGATGAGAATTAAAGCGCGTATAGTTTTTGTAGTTATAGTCATAATTTAGCTAGTGAGTGGGCTAGTATACTGCCCTGATGCTTAGATCAAAGCAGATGGTTTTCTTATGGAGATACTTTGCAGGCATCTGATGTGGAGGTGCAATGCACAAGGTGGTGGAGCATCGTTAGGAGATACGACCCTGTGGTAGCTGATGACTGATAATAGGTTTATGCGCCATTATTCCCTAGAATCCTGGCACTCATGTGCACCATTGGTTTGGAATCCGGATTTTTCAATTGACGTAGATGGATCTGTACTCATATTTTGATAGCAAATCTGCTGGTGTCTGGCCTCTCGAGAACCTAGGTTCTCTAACTCATCTTTTTTACAAAAAAGGCAGTATCACTTAAGTTGGTAATTTTTTAAAAATGCTAATTTAATAGTGGTTTTCGTTTAGAGAGATATTGACATCCATATTAACGTGAGGAAACCTTATCTATAGTATTTGAATCAAAATACAGTTTTCTCAAAACTAGTAATGCTCTTTTTGAATTCGATCCTTAGACTCGTCTACCTCCAGAGGTAAATAGGATCTTGTTGGTCAAAAACCTACCCTATAACATATCAGCAGAAGAAATGTATGATATTTTCGGCAAGTACGGTGCTATCCGTCAAATTCGCATCGGCAACACCCCTGAAACGAAAGGAACTGCTCTGGTTATCTATGAAGACATTTTTGACGCTAAGAACGCTTGCGATCACCTCAGTGGCTTCAACGTTTGTAACCGATATCTCGTAGTTCTTTACTACCAGAGAAACAAGGTATTCTGTATTGCTTTATTGTGTCCTTATCATGCTTTATATTGGTTGGTATATTTCCATTTATTTATTTATTTTAACACATAGATATTCGTACAAGGAGGCACCAAATACATATGCGCCACACGAATCTCAATTGATTTGTGTGAGGGCTGTGATACTGCCCGGGTGCCCAAACCGAGGCAGGTGGTTTTCTTAGGGGGCCACACCCCGGGCCTTCGACCTGAAGATCTGATCCACAAGGCAGTGGAGCATCGTAAGGAGATGCAGTCCCATGGTAGTCGGTAACCAACGATTGGTTTATCCGCCTTTTGTTCCTTCAGGATACTGGAGCCCATGTGCACCATTGGTTTGGGGTCCGGTTGAAGCGCCGGACATTCGCTTTTCGTACTCTCATTTTCGTAAACAACACCCCCGCCACGAGAAGGCAGTGAGTAGGACTTCCCTGGCAGGGGCTATATACGCATGGCCATGTGAGAGCGTTTCGAGAGGGAGAGCAGACTCTCCCCACTCTCGGCCGTACCAGGGCGTTTGGGGGCATATATTTCCATAAGATGTCAACAAAAATTACTTGTCTATAAAATTTATACAGCCGTAAAACATTAGGTAATATAGTAGTTTTCATACTGTTTAAGAATTTAAATGCAACACCGATAAATCAGTAGATATTAAAGCATCATTTAGTTCAGAGCTTTTTGATAATAAGTATAAGGGCGTACCGGGTTTTCTGCCCAGTATAAGTACCATATAGTTTAGTCGGAAAAATTGAACGAGCTAGACGGTTTTTTGATGTTTGCATTGCTCTGAACTATTTAACAAGTTTCACTTGATTGATGTGTTTGACATAGTAAACGAATCTATGCTTGTTAATCGGGTTAACCTCAACCGCTTCAATCAAAACCTGTAGTCTCTGGGTTTGTGTATAAATATCAGGTTCTTATTAACTATAACTATACGTATGTACATAATATTTTTTAGTTGTTCTTAATAGCTTTTCATTCCTTTTGTAGCAATTCAAGAAAACTGATGTAGATAAAAAGAAAGAAGAATTAGATCGATTGAAGGCAAAATATGGATTAAATACTCCGAAAATGAAATGATTCATTTCACAGCGAATCTGGAGCTTTTCCGCGGTTTTCTCACACCGGACGTTCTTAAATCCTTGTGCAAATAAAACTTATAATTTTGACAAAATAATCAATAAAATGTATAAAAGTAACGTGATCATTTTTTTGACAGTAAACTTCAGATATTCTGATTACATGAACAAAATGTAATCATGTTGCAGTTGTGCTGTTCTATATATATAAACCAAATGTTATATAAGAGAGAGAATTATTGTTTGTAAAGCAACCTTCATTCACAAATATAGCATTAGAAATATCAATACATAAAAACAGGTTACGTATAAGTTTCGAAAAAGAACTGTATTTTAGTACCCCATTTGGCATTGATTTATTGAAAATAATATTGTTAATAAAGACTGGTTTCTAAATTTTCCGAAATGCTGTTAGGAATCATTCATATTAATTCAAACTAATGGTCACTAATCAACATGGTGATAAAAACAGAGAGAAGGATTAAAAAAGACTGGATTTTGAAGAATTTGCTAAGCTTCTGATATGAACAGTTTACCTGCAAAAAGTAAATAAGAGTAGTAGAAATAAAGTAATTAGTTTTAGGATATTTTAGGTTAATTACACGTATCCCCAGGTTATCAGAGTCTGAAAACTTGGTAGTACAAAAATATCAACAAGTATTAGACATTAAACTTACTAGGTCTTGGGTATGAGCCACACTAGGTGCAAGGGATAATGACACTACCTGGTTACTTAAACCGGAGTGGGGTTCGAATCTTGGGTTCAGTGACAAAAATTCAGATGCATTAAGCGCTGAGCCACCGTTTCGCTATCACTAAGGTCTAGGTATAGTTATATTGGATGGGGACGATTATGCCGAAAAGATATGTTGTTGTAGTATATGCAAAATAAGACAAATTGTTAGTCAATAATAATGTGACAGATTAGATTAGAAGCACCTCTCTGAGTTGTTGAAAAAGACTAAATTTGAACGAGATGTTGAGGTCTACAGGTACAATAACACCCATACTGTATGGTTTATCTCGAGTATATGAAAGTGGTTGCCATTCCAATTCGTTTTAGATACAACCGATTCCCTTTATCATGTGACGGAGAAAATGCCGGATACAACTCTTAAAGCCATTTCATAAAAAAAGTATACTGTAAACAACCCCCCAAATGCCCTAGTACGGCCGAGAGTAGGGAGGGCCCGCCCTTTCTCTCGAAATGTTCTCACACGGCCGCGCGTATACAGCTTCTGCCAGGGGAGTCCTACTCACTACCTCGTGGCGGGGGTGTTGTTTGGGAAATTTAGAGGACGAAAAGCGAATGTCCGGCGCTTTAACCGGGTCGGTGGACACGGCGAATCCACCTAGGAGAGTTGGAAAACCCTGATTTCTAAGCAATAGCGCACATAAGCTCCAGTATCATGAAGGAAAAATGGCGTATGAACCGATTGTTAGTCACAGGCTACCATGGGATTACATCTCCTTACGACGCTCCACTGCCTTGTGGATCAGACCTTTAGGTCAAAGGCTTCGGGTGTGGCCTCCTAAGAAAACCACCTGCTTCGGTCTGGGCACCCGGACAGTATCACAGCCCACACACAAATAAAATGAAGTGACGATATTCACTTGGAAATGCTATTCACGCATCAATTGAAAGTCAAACAATTCACATTATTATTATCACTAGTATTGGTATTATTACTACTACTTACCTATTCACTTATTCACTTTCTTTTATTCCCACTTTGTGTATCCTTATTTCCCAGCTTATACAGCAGCTCGCCTATGGTGGAAACTCTGTTTTATCTAAACTATCTTGAGTCCCTGACTGGTCGAAAATTGAATGCTACCACCCAATACGAATACTGAAACCACGTGCACCATTCAAACTGGCTTCCTTCAACGTTCGCACACTAAAGCAGATCGGACAACAGATAGGGCTGGCTATGTCTTTAGAAAGTCTTAATATTGACGTTTGTCGCCTATCCGAGACCCGTATTCAAGACTCTGGTGAAGTACTACAAGTTCGCTCTCCATCTGTCGCTTCAAAAAGCTTGTTTTATGTGCGTTTATCCGGGGACCCTGTGGCATTTTCGTCTGGTCTTGCTGGTGTTGGTTTCGCATTAAGCGCAAGAGATGAGGTAGAAATAATCGATTGAACCCTCATTAATAGACAATTATGCATTGTTAGACTAAAATGTCCCATCAAAGTGAGAATTAATCGGCGTGAGAAACGATGTCTTTTTGTCATCTCCGCCTATGCCTCGACAGATTGCAGCCCGGATGCAAACAAGGATGGATTCTACCGCCAGTTAACTGTTCTTCTCCAGAAAGTGCGTTCAATAGACATTGTAGTACAAGCCGGAGACTTGAATGCTCAGGTCGGGCGTCTAGGCACAGAAGAGAGTCGTTTAGGTGGCCGATGGGGACTTGTTGGTTGCAGGACAGATAACGGGGAACGTCTACTGCAATTGTGCATAGATTACAACCTGTTTCTGGCTAGCACTAACTTTCGGCACAGTCATCGCCGATGTGCCACCTGGCATCCCCCTTCTGCATTTCAAGCCTGGACTCAGATTGATCACATCGTGATCAGCTACCGCTGGTGTGGTTGTGTACAAGACTGTCGCTCCTTTTGGAGTACCTATTTGGACTCTGATCATTCCCTGGTCTGCGCCAGTCTTACCTTATTTTTCAGTGGCCAGCGAATTGATCCTCACCAACGGATTGATGTCAGCAGACTGGTTGCAACTTCTGTTGCTGGTAAGTATCGAACCGAGCTAGCTTCTAGGCTATCTACCTTTCCACCGAAAAGTATGGATGAGCATTGGTTGCAATTGCATGACGCCATGAAAATGGCGAGTAAAGTCGCTTGCGGCTTCGCGAAAAGTCCCGCTTATAAGCACTGGGTTTCTTCAATCCCCTTACAATTCATCGAAGCCCATCGGTCTACTCCGGGTGACCGTGAGTTCGACCACAAACGAAGGATGTTATGTAATGAAATCGGGCAAAGCTTGCGTAAGGACCGAGAAGCCTGGTGGTCGGAGCGTGATAATGAGCTGGAAGCAGCAGCTGCATCTGGTAACTACCGGAAGCTCTTCCAACTCATCCGAGTCACTGGCAGCAATAAGTCTGATGTGAGCGAAACAATCTGCGAGGATGACGGAACGCCAATCACTAACATCCATCGACGTCTTGGACGATGGGCAGAATTTTTCGAAGGGCAGTTCAACTGGCCTACTGCTCCGGCAACATCGGTCAGACTGTCCTGTCCTCCATGGTCAGTGACGACTGATCCACCAAATGAGGCGGAAGTCCGCAAGGTACTCCAACTCTTGAAACGCTACAAATCACCGGGCCAAGATGACTTACCTCCGGCTTTTTTTAAAGATGGTGGTGACTTTCTGACTAAGGGACTGACGACGTTGTTAACAAAGGTCTGGGAACTAGAGAGTGTACTTACGTCATGGAATGAGTCGATAGTTGTCCCTATCTTTAGAAAGGGTTCACGTCGTTCCTGTAACAACTATCGGGGGATAAGTCCACTTCCGATTGCGTCCAAGCTATTGGCTTCCGTTATACTTCGTAGGTTGTTCAAAACCCGAGAAAAAGTGACTCGCGTGGAGCAGGCCGGTTTTCGTTCTGGTCGAGAATGCATTGATCATATCTTCACCCTCGGCCAAATGTTAGAACACCGCCATACTTATCAACGGCCAACAATCAGGGCTGCCTTAGATTCGTTGGACAGAACTGTTCTCTGGGATTGTCTATTGAAGGAGGGTGTGCCTGAGAAGTTTATTAACATCTTAAAGGCCCTATACACAAACACCTTAGGCAGAGTGAGGGCATACAACCACCCTGCTCCATTATTCCATTCGAGCAGTGGGGTTAGGCAGGGTTGCCCAATCTCACCATTCCTCTTCAACTTTGCCATCGATGACATTCTGGAAACAGCTCTGATGGAAGTAAGTAATAGTGGTGTGGATCTGTCGCTTGGAGAAAGACTTCTCGACCTTGAGTATACGGATGATATTGTCTTACCGTGCGAGAATGTTCAAGCCATGCAATCCGCACTTAATCAGTTGGCAATCAGTGTCTGTAGGTACGGTATGTGCTTTGCACCTTCGAAGTGCAAAGTACTTCTACATGACTGGCAGGATTCTAATCCTGTACTCACTCTGGATGGTGAGCAGGTAGATGTAGTCGAGAAGTTCGTGTATCTAGGTAGCTGCATAAATGCTAGTGGTGGTGTGAGTGATGAGATCAATACACGTATAGTGAAAGTCGGAGCGGCTTATGCCAATCTGGGCCACCTTTGGCGCCTTCGTGATGTTAGTCTGGCTGTAAAAGGTCGGATCTACAACGCGTCGGTAAGAGCAGTTTTGCTCTATGCTTGTGAAACCTGGCCTCTCCGAGTTGAGGATGTTGGACGACTCTCTGTGTTCGATCATCGCTGTCTCCGAAGGATTGCTAACATCCAGTGGAAACACCATGTTAGTAATGCAGAGGTTCGGCATCGTGTGTTCGGGCACAGAGACGATAATTCCATTGGTGTCACCATCTTCAAACACCGACTTTGGTGGCTTGAATGTGTTCTACGAATGTCGTCCCAGAGAATTCCACGTCGTGCATTATTTGCCGATTCTGGGTCTGGTTGGAAAAAGTGGGGAGGTGGTCAGTGTATGGCATGGTGTCGTGGTATGAAAGAAGACTGCAAAGGGCTGGCTTGTGTTGGTCCTTAACGACTCCCTGGCTGGGGTCTGAGAGATGGTGAAACACAGTGGCTAGAGACGTTATCAGATATGGCTCAGAATAGAAGCCAGTGGCGATCCTGCTGTAACCTTCTTTTACTTTCTTCATAAAAAGTGGTTGTAACTTCCCTAATTGAAGGAATTCTTTATGACTGTACCTTTCCGTTTCCCCCATAATAATAATAATAATAATAATAATAATAATAATTATTATTATTATTATTATTATTATTATTACACTACCATACACTAATCTGTGGTCGTTATTGTTCTTTTTTTTATAAGCACCTTACATTCTTTTTCTCTTCCCATTCTCATTGTTTTGTAAGGCGCATATATATTTGGTGCCATCTTGTACCAATATTTTTGTGTTCAAATAAATAAATAAACAACCGTAGATTTTTGGGTAGTAAGTTTAATGGTCAAAGATAAATTAATGGTATCGCCGGTTGTGTCATCGTTATTCGCCAACTTTCCTTGACACTGCTTCATATGCACTAAGCTTATTGGGCGACAAACAAGTCAAGATTCCTCTATCTCCGTTATAAGAGCCAATCTCCAGGGGAATAATGAGTATATCCATCTAATTCAACAGTGAATCTTACAGACAGTGGGATGACAAAAGAGATTTGCAGCTCAGGTGGATGATTTTGATGGTATTGTGTTTCCTGACTTGGATGGTTTAATTGCCTTAATTATCATCCTGGATATCTTCGCCGCCTATTTCATGTAGAAGTAAGCTTTCCAGTTTTTCCGCAAGTAGTATGTCAGTTCATCCCGATGGCCTTGTTCGAGATTGACTGCCTCCGTTTGTCCCTGCATTCACGTTGGCTGCCTTTGTTAATTGACTTCTGTCCGTCATTGAAACTAATTGATCTCCTTACGATGCTCCACTGCCTTGTGGGTCAGACATTCAGGTCGAAGGCTCGGGGTGTGGCCCCCTAAGAAAACCACCTGCTTCGGTTTGGGCACCCGGGCAGTATCACAGCCCTCACACATATCAAATGAGATCTGTGTGGCGCATATGTATTTGGTACCTCCTTGTACCAATATCTATGTGTTGAAATAAAATAAATAAAATTGATCTCTTCTGCAAAGGTTCACAGGTTGGGTCTATGTCAGCGTGTTTGTTGACTGCTAATTGGTCTGAATAGTATGCTTCCGGGAGTTACCTGGCTTTTTTAGGGTTTACCTGATCCAGAATTCGGACTTTTCTCCAATCAAATTCATATCCATGGTTGTCTGTGTGCATTAGTATCACTCACCTCGCCGATAATCTTTGTTGATTTGTATATAGATAAAGAGGACGTTCAATTTGTTGGATGTGGTATTTCAAGTAGTTTGGCTATTTCTATTATAAATAATGCTGTATTTGTCTTCCTGTGCCGTCGTACCTCGTGGTCTGAATAGAATTAATGGAATGAAGTGGTCGTGTTGGTTATGTGTATTCTAAAGGGCTTCAGTATCCCGGTAATTGTTTTTGGTGTTGGTCCTCTGATGGTTTATCGAGATGTTGAGAACGGTAATGAAAGTTCTTCAGCTAAACCGTATAGCTTAGAGAACATATCATCATAATACACTGAGATATGGTAGCTATAAGGTTACCACTGGGTCCACACTTCCAGCACATATATCTGGTGTAACCTGAAAATGGACTGTTTAAAGACGTAAACGACCAACTACAGTTTTAATGTTGCTACATAGGTTGTACCTTCATGGTACTTACAGAAGAAAGGGATATGAATAATACACATGGCAAATTGAGCGATATTAATTCACCTACAAATAACGTTCAATTTAGATGAAGAATAAACTGATAGTATATCGTTTCTAGATATCAGGTTGGATGAAATGTTAAAACAGAGTATACACAATAAATAAATAGCCAACAGACCTTGCTAATTCTAAAAAAGATGGCGCATGAATTCACCTCCATATGAACACTTCTTCTAGCGTTATATACATTGGAGGCACAACTGAGTAAGTCGGTCATTAAATTCCGAAACAACATCCTTGATGATTAGGGAAATAGTAGTTTCAGGTTATTAGGATCTCTAAAGTTGTTTGTTTGATAGATACAGGGCATTGAGTGAATTCTAATAAACCTCTAGTGGTCAAAATTTGGACGAACAGTATGACAGAAATTGGAGCCGGAGTGTATGAAAGACATTAAATGTAAAAATTGTATTTGAATAATCTATGATTGAAACTTCAATCACTCAGATTATTAAAACAATTTCCACACTTAATATGTAGTGATTTACCAAATCCAACCTAGTTTCTCTCACGGTTTACGTGAGTGAAGCCATCGAGATCTGTATTTCACAAACCTAGTTTTTGTATTCAAAAGAAGTTTTTACAACCTCGCTTATTACCATACTTATTAGTATTGGGGAATAATTTCATCTATCACATAAGTTACTTATTATTTCGCTTTCTTTCTGAAATTCCACTTGTCTTTTTGTTCCGACTCAAAAGTTGTTCTTATTTATTCGTTCGTCAGGTACTTGACTGAGAACCATACCGTAAGCGTGAGGGCTAGCGATACTACCCCGGTTGCCCAAACTGAAATAGGTAGGACGGATTTCGGACCTGGAACTTAGTGGATGAAGGTTGGACGCTATAAGTACTGAGCCACCTTTTTTTACGTAGCTACTCATGATACTTTTTTTCATCAAAACCTTTCAATCGCCCTGCAGATATCTAATTTATTAATCTCTTAACAATCTATTTCAACTCGTTTGTTAACAATAATGGTAGTATAAATATATTATTCATCATTGCTTTTGAACTAATTTCTTAATCATTTATCACTTTTAGAAATAATTCTGGTTTTATAATACGGTTAAATAATCCACCCTTTCGGTTTTTATTGTATTTATTTATTTATTATTCATTTGAACACATAAACATTGGTACAAGGAGGCACCAAGTACATATGCGCCACACAATAACAATGAGGCCAGTAGCAGTTATCATTAACATGTGTGAGGGCATTTAAAAAAAAGTGAATTAACGTTAGAGTGACTATTACTTACACAATCATTAATTTAATGATTACTGAAATTGAATTAGGTGCCTCGGAATGCATAAAATAGTTCATCACATCTTTCTGGTCCAACATGTTGTTCCAACTGAGTTCGGTTCATTGTATAAAGATCCATTCCTTTAAATCCTTTCAAAGCAGATATAGCTCTGAAAAGGTAAATTATAAATTTCAGATAAACTATAAGTAAAATTTACATTATCACCATTATTAAGTCGTTTGTGTTCGTATAAATAATAAATTGCTATGAATAGTAAATTAAATCATTTGTTAGTGTATTGATATTCTGTTTAATTAAGGATTCTAATCCTAAATAGGAAAACCTAATGTCAAGAGCAGTATCAGTTCATATGTGAACTGTATCTTCATTTTGAAAATAGTTACTTTTACGACAATATTTGTAAGAGTTTTGAACAAGATATCATTCATATAGGTTACATCTCTTTTAGTCCTAAGCAATTGCTAGTTTTATTATAATTTCTAATGTCCAAAATCAGAAGTGGGTTTTGTGGAGATTTTAGTGATGTCAATTGTTGAGAGCATGAGCCAATTGAAGCTAGACCACCATGGAAAACCTGGAAGCACTGGAGGGCCGTTTCGTCCTATTGTGTGACTTCTCAGCAGTGCGCATCCACGATCTCGCCTCGCGGGATTCGAACCCAGGACCTACTGGTCTCGCGCGCGAGTACTTAACCACTAGACCACTGAGGCGGCATCCAACGGTGTTAATGTCTAACTTCAACTAATCTACGAAGTTGAGCGACACATCCATCATTTTCATCAGTGATTTACTATCTCAAAACTTCTGAGGTGTCCCACAATAGGACGAAACGGCCGTCCAGTGTTTCCAGGTTTTTCATGGTGATCTAGCTTCAACTGACTCATGATCTCAACAATTGAGAGTATAAAATCATGTAATCTGACAACACATTCATAACAGTGATTTAATATACATGCATATGGAAAAAATTAAAATACTCATTGTAAATAAAATAATTTAATTATCTTTGTAGTAGCTATACAAATTGTATACGAATGTTTGCTAGTTTTGATCAAAACTTTGCTAAGTAATAAACAATAGTTGACTTTTGAGTCGACAGTAATTATATATGAGAATTCATCAATTTTACGTAGTGTGAATTAATTTAATTCCATTTATATTCTTTTTTACATCTCACTGTTTTAATGAAGATTATAAGAGTAATGCAAAGAGAACATTTAGTTAACATATTAAACCGTAGTTACGAAGATATTTGCAGTAAAACTGTCTTTGTACAACTATATTTTTATTTTCCTAATATATGTAACGTAAATAGAAATCACCTCAGAGTTATAATACATTTATCTAGCTGAGCTATAGTTTTGTGTATATATTAGAAATTTTTAGATATATTTTACCAAATCACATCTCAAGAATGTAGCTAAATGAAGGAATATACATGATATATTTCTAATAATTCATCCATACAAACCTAGGGAAGACCCCAAAGTTATTATAAAAATATTAAATGAGTTCGATAGTGAGTGACTTTCGAAGATCTCATTGTAGAAACTGTAAGAATTATACTATTTTCATTCGGTAAAAATAATTTAAGTTGAGTCACTGTAAATGTTTACGCTTAGGAAGGTTTGAATTAATCTAATCTAGTATAATGATTGTTTTCAATAGTTTCTGAGATATGGTCGTTTGTTAGTCTAAATGAAATAACATTAAAAATATTAAGAATTATCATTTAGTTGAAAAAACAATTGAAGGTTGTACAGTTGGGATCTAAACATGTATACAACAGCTCATTCTGTTTAGGATTTTGACAAATTAATAGATGGTTTTTTCTCTTGTTTAACATTAGGATCATCGATTGCCTATTTGTTAAACTTTACTAGCGTTACAGGTGAGAACTAAAAAAAATTATTAATAAAAACTTGAATATATGAATAATTTGAACACAAATACATTTTTCAGGAATTTTATAAATATCTTTTGGGGAAATTTCGTTACATCTTAAGTTCACTGTTTTATTTTTAGGCACTTACTTTGGTGAAAATTGATGAGCTACTAACCATTCGGCAACTTCCTCCTTAGATGCATATTTCGATAATCTTTGATCAGGTTTATCAAGTGTTGTTGAGGGGACAGGCACTGATTTAAGACCGGTACCCCCTCCAAGTTGCATTTTAGACAATCTTTCTCTCAATTCTCTGGTCATAGTATGCATATGAGTTGCTATAATATACAAATATATAGCATAAATTTATAGAAAAGAAATGGGATTATTACTTATAAATGTAAGGATTAGTTAATCGTGAAGTAGTTAGTTATTTATTAGATTTAATTAAAAGTTAGTACAACAATGGTTTGTATGAAAAAATCGATTGTTTAAAGACAGATCATACGTAATGTAAGCATAAGAGGTTGAGTGTTTTTTTAGTATTTTAATTTTGTTGTTATTAAGCATGACATTAAATACTTGCACTTCAAGACAATCGTCTATAATAAGCTATTCTACATTTTTTTTTACTTTTTATACTAATGGAACTGATTTTATGTAAGTAAGGTGCACCATTATTATATAGTTGCTTCATATCGTAACATCCATAGATGATAAAATAATAGGTGTCTGAATAAATTAGTCAGTAACTTTGATAAGATAAGCAGTATGATCTTGATTTGAATTTGTCAATTTTTAGATTGAAACAGTTGGAAACTAAATATACACACAACAAAAATTAATCAGCTTTAAAAATATCTTACAGATCACCTATTTTTTATTAAATTAAAAAAAACTTCTTAATAAACAAAAATGTAACAACCCTGTTTACATTTGAGAATAGAATTTTCCCATCAATCATATAATAAGTCTATTTAAAATTTCATTTGATGTCGTTGTGTGTTTATTGCAAGACTGGTACACAACATGCAGTGCTTGATATCATCCAAGTTAGCAAAATCGTTTTTTCTCAGTTACATGACTTATTATTAATCAGTGAATGCTACCATAATGATATGGAAAGATATTTAGTTTCTCACTGGATTATAAATCCCTTAATTAATTTTATCATTTAAGTATTGAGAATAGGAAATCAATGAGCGATTCATAGAGATAAGTTTGTAAAAATGAAGAATCTTTTCGTGACATGCTTTGCAAACACGGATATTCAATAAAATATACATTTATAAATATTCAGATCTTAAGTAATTCAGAATGATCAATAAAAATAGTAGTTCTCTAAATTTTTTTCCATTAATATAATATAATCTTAAGCTAAAATTGTAACATATTTAGTGTTTTTATCAAATAACATCAAGAACATGTCATTCACAGTTTACTGATCAAGTGAATATTGTCCTAGTTTGTTTCTGATGATTGAAGTAAATTAATTCAACACTATTTGTTGATATTCTCCACTGAAATAATGTTTTTAATACTGGCATACTTACCATTTTTCTATGTTATATATTCAAGAATAGTTTTGTATAAGTTCGCTTAAATGAAAACAATATCTAAATATAATTTTGCTCGATTGTATGTGAGCTGATTTCAAGTTAATGATTTTGACTATTTAATACTTGATGAATAGTAACAAATAGACATTTTTTCTTCTATTTTAAGATGGGTCATTTTTAATGTAAACTAAAACTGTCTATCAATGTCTATAAAATGTCTGCTTTCATTGAAGTACATCATCATTATGAATCTTTTCTCTGAATTTTTCATCACTTTGTTTCCATGAAATGAATACTGTAAACTCTTCAAATTCATTTAAATCAAGACTTTTTCCTTTGAACTAAGTTTCATATTCCTGAAATCAATAAAAAGACCAATGTTTTCATGATCAAGTTCCAGGTGTCTTTTAGATATGGTATAGTTGAAGTGAGCAACTTGTTACTACTATTATGCATGAAAATACATTTTAAGGGCATTTTCAGATAACGCCTTAATTATAATGTCTTGTAAACCTGATACTCTACGTATATTGATAGCAAATGCTGACCGGAAAGCATTTCTAGTTTTATAATCGTTCTTCTGACTTGTTATCTTGTTTGAATTATACGTAAACTTTATAATCAGAATAACATACATAATAATGGGTGGACTAATAATACAAACACCCATGGTACAGTACTAGAATACATTATGAGACGAAGTAAGTGTATATTTTAGGTGAAGTAGGAGATTGTCGATGAATACTGACTTTTCATAACAATTAATTGTTAGCAAACATGAACCGTTTTATAATAAAATCTTTCTTCACCGATCGATTAGTTACATTTCACATTATAAAACGAGTGTGATAATGAATTGAATGAAACGGTAACAAATATTTAATTTATGAGCACCGTGAGTGAACAAACAGTAGGATATTGGTAATTTTCCGTTAGATTACTTAAAAGTAAACTTCGATGATAAGCATTATTATTATTATTATTATTATTATTATTATTAGCACCAAAGTTTGACGTGATAGAACAACTATTTTAACCTAATTAATTGATAAATTAGACAATATCATTGACAAATTCAAATATTTCAATGTATTTGTTGAATGAAATTTAATAAATATATTTTAACGAGGTATTATAATAATAATCATATTAGGAAAAATGAACGATTAAAGCGTTCACTAGAAATGCTGTTATCTGGCTTTTGTTTAGTATGTTAATCATTAAGCTTGGTTTATTATAATATTGAATAAAGTTGAATATATGCCGTATACGGTTGTGTATGATGTGAAAACTATAAAATTATTGAGATCATGAATCGATTAATGTTAGACCACCATTGAAAACCTGGAGGCACTGGATGGCTTTTCCATCCTAGTACGGGACTCCTCAGCAATGCATATCTATGATCCTTGGTATAGGACTCGAAGCTAGGACCTTCGGTTTCGAGCGGGAACGCTTAACCCCCAGACTAAAGAGCCCGCGTGCAACGAATGTTAATGTCCAACTTCAACCAATTCACCAAACTGGTATATATATATAATGATTTTTTATTTCATATAAAATTTAAAGAAAATTTCGGTTAGTCTATACTGTAATCAATATTTGTTTTAATGAATATGCCTTAGGAATAAGAATTTAAAATATAGAAATACGTCCAATGTGGCTTAGTGGATGTAAATTAACCTTCAAATTCAAATCAGTGACTTTTATATGGATATATAAAAGGATTGATTTTTTGTGTTTTATGAACATGAAAATAACTATTTATTATATTATTAGGTTCGGTTAGTAACAAGTTTTTATAAGATGGAAAGAATTTTGCTAGCAGTGGGATTCAGGGTGCACGTTTCGTGTTGATACATCCGGTTTATGAATTCCAAATAGAACAAAAATCACACCCTGGATTCCACTGCTGGTCCGATCCCATCTAATCGATAGAATGATGATAATGTTTAAGTATAGGTTTTGTAAATAATAATAATATATTTTGATATTCCATAACCATTAGCAACAAGCAGATTAATAGTTGGGTCCGTGCCAAGTGCGTAATCAAGTTGAGTAAGATCTGGTTGTTCTTGTAACAGTGATAACATAGATATAAGAGCCTTTATATGATTGACTATCAGTGATGAATAACTAACTATATATTTGAGTATATGAATGCTCATCAGTTCCATAATAAAAATTTGGGTATTTAAAGCATAAATGTTTATATGGGAGATTTGTAATGTCACTAAGCCTATTGAAAATTTAATATTTTAGCCAACCTAACGGGAAATGATAAACAAACATTATATGAACATTAAAACTTAAATAAGCAAAAATGGATGGTGGCTAGCAGTGGAATCCAGGATGCGCATTTCGCCCTATTTGGGACTCGTCATCTGGATGCACCTGCATCTAAGAGTTGATATTCACTCCGGGACTCGAACTATTGACATTCGCTTAGAACGTCATCTGGTTATCCACTTAGTTAGTGAGTACAGATAGCCACTAGCTTGTGCAGTGAGGTGAAGTTTTAATTCGTACAAACAATCAATACAAAAATGAATTGAAATTCAAATTTTTATGGCTGAGATATTAAATTTCCAATAAACTTAACTGAAAAGTTACTATATGAATATTTATGTTTTACAATAAATTCCTAAATTTTTATTATAGAGCCGATTATCACCCATATACTAAAATTAGGGTTAATCTAAACAGAAACAAGGGTTTCATAACTGTTCAAGTGCAATTTTGTTTTCCTACTAAAAAACAAACATGTTAAACTTGACCAACTGTCTTGCAATAATCCATATTACTTAAGTCGTTTAGTCATTAATAGTTTTAGGTAGTAAAATGTTTCTGTCTTGACAACGAAACAGAAGTATACTTTGATGACATTTGGATAGTGTGTAGGAACAATGTGTGTGTAAATAAGAAATAGAACAAAACTTTAAAAAATTTTTATTCAAAAACACTATGTCAGTTGATAAACTGTTACAATTCAAACAGCACTAAACAATAGTTACTTTTTTTCTAGTTTTAGACTACTTAAAAGTAGATATCATCGCCATCTTACAGAATGAAAAGATTTTTAGTCAAGTTCATAACCTCCTAGGTAAGAAACTATTTCTCATGTGATACTAATCTTTTCAATTAATCAAATTCTCAGCATTATTTAATCTTATGAGTGATATATATAACTGAAAATGAAATGTTTCTACAACTGAAATTAAGGTTTGATAATTTAGTGTTAGAAAAATCAGTATATGATATAGCAATTATAACAAACCATGTTAGAGCAAAATTAGTACAACAAAAGCTTAGTTAGGCAATATAACCAAAAGAAATAATAAACAAGTTACAATCTACTGTTAATTAGTACCAAAAAAATAGAACTTACGATAGTTGAAAGGATACGGCGAGTAGCCCAAAGCTAACACAAACAAATGCATACACACAGATATACATATATATACATTAAATTATGCAAAGATTGTACGACACTCCTAACTGAGAAAAAAAATTGAGAAGTGCATTAAGAATTATTATTTCATTAGAATGTTCTAGACGATCAATATATTATTGTACAAAAAAATTTGCACATTATGTATTTCAATCTATCTAAAAAATAACCTTTTTTCTTTGAATGAATGTGAAATGTTCACTAGTATTATTGTGCTCAAACTGCATATACGATGTATGATATTCAGTATAGAGTAAAAAAAATTAGAAAAGAATAAAGTTTCACGCGAAATCTACTTGATTAAGTGGTATCGTATAAGACAACAAGTAATGGAGATCAGAGATACATAGACATTCCAACTTTAGATCTGCAGATATACGAAACCAATGAGAAACGTTTGAAGTCCTAAATTAAGTCCTGAGGTGTGTATAGATAGGGTTGTAGTGAACAAGAACACTAATGGGGACAATCGAATGTATTTGACAACAAATGACAGTACCTGTTAATAAAATCTAATTATATATTAAATGCTCAATTTGAAAAATGTCCATCAATTGTCTCAAAATGACTCAGACTTCATTATTCTTGCATTTTCATACAAATTGCAGTCTGTCTTCATTCTTTACTGTTCGATATTCTTGTCTCTCTGCTGCCAGACATTCTGTTCACGACTAACATCATATAATACTTATGTCTACATAAGTAGCATACACCACAGGGTGATTTCCATTACTTTAGAATTTTCGGTACTTTGTTGATTAACATTATCACTTTTAGAAAGCTCTCTACATTAATAATTAATTTTTAAGGAGGCATTTTGATGTCAAACTCTAGAAATTACTTTTATTAAATGTGCAATCAGAAAGTTATGTTTACCATTAATCAACTCCAATTCTTTGCATATAGTAGCTACTCTGCAAGAAACTTATTTTCAGAGCTAGAGCATCCTCAAATGTCGAATAAAGACTTTGCATGTTGTTTGTTTTATTCAGATGAATAAAATATTTTTTTCCTGTATGCTAAAATCATTTTTCAAATATATGAGATAGAAGACAGTCCTTCGAAATATGTTACGTCAGCTACTGAAGATCTAAGATGTATGAACCGATGAATGCTTGCCTAATCTTTTAAAGTTGCAGCTAACAAGAATTAATTCTTTGGTCTGCAAAACGTGACAGTGCATAATTGCATGATAAGTCCTGTACATAAAAGTCAATGATTACATTAACTTTTTTTAAAGATTATTAATCAAAGAAAAACAATTATTGTAGTAATAATTTGTATTGTTTGTATTATTAGGACACCTAACATTGTGCAGTTGTATGATACATAAACTATTTCATCATACAACTTTATTATATAGATATATATGTATGCAAACTAAACACAACGATTTTTTATTGCTCAAAAATTTATTTTCATCTATGTAAATTTAAATCTTGCTTTCTATAGTAGTTTCTTTCCTAAAAAGCTATTGATAAAGGATATATACAAAATCATAATTCATTCAAAGTATCATAAAGCCTATCAGTTTATGCCAATTGTTTTACACTATCTCAATGTAAAATTTTTATCACATATTTGGTTGTAAGCAGCTGACGAGAAACCTCGAAATATTATGAATTCATACTATTCTGCATCAATATTTGTTCTTGCTTTATTTAAAATTAGAATTCACAGAAATTCACTTTTTGAAGCATGTGTGAACTCATTGAAGGGGTTTCAGATAATGAATCAAACAATGATAGCTGCTACACACTATACTCATTTTCTTCGTAAATAATCAGATATTTTACAGTTTTTACGAAAGTTTCAGGTTATAAAATGATAGATTAACAATTTGAGTTTGTACCATAATAGGAAAAACGCCAAATCATACCAGCATTTTATCCGAATCGATCGATTTCGACCCATGAAACCTGAAGTCTGTGGTCAATTAACTTAATAAGGTCTATCAAAAATCTTATACGTTTCTATATGACTTTGATTAGTAGCTCAGAAAATTCGAAGATTTTTGTACGAATTTGTGGACTAGAAAATTGAGAATATGACTACATTGTTATTTCAGAGAAAATTTAAAATTCCAACGTTAGTTTAATGCTGTATAAAACTGATTTGCTTAGAAATTACAATGTGTAGGAAAACATTATTGATACTATTCAGGAAAGCTAATTTTCACACAAAAGAAATTAGTTAAACTGTCTAACTGTAAATATTAACATTTAATGATTTATCCTTTTAATTAGTTAATTATGAATAATATAGGCAAATAACTAACCTTCAGCTTCATTTACCGATGAATACATCACATGGTGATAACAATGATTATGGTTAGGTTAAAAGTTAAAAGAGAGAACAAAATAATTGATGAAAGCATGAAAATATATAACGATATGAAATTAAAACTGAACATTAAAAATTTTCAGATGTATAGTTATATGGATTTTGACATGTTATGTAGACAAAAATTTCATAATATTTATACAAGTATTGATGATAGTGAAATAATTCAAGTTTTATGAATAGCGAGAAGTGCTTGCATCAATTTTTGTTCTTAACCGACAATAACATTATTGTATACTGTTAGTGCACTGGAACACGAAATTTCCTTTTTACTTGCTAGTACTTGTGTTAGAAACCGGAACAATATTCAGTCATATTTTAGGGAATAGCTTTTGTAAAAATTTTGCATAAATCAATGAGCTGATTTTATTTTAAGTATGTCGGTCAATTGTGTAACCACTTGTTCTCAGTTTTAGTATTACTATCTACTACTTTACATGTTTTCCTTTTAATTGGTTCATACTTCCGTGTATAAATGTGCATGCATCTTAATAGTAATGTAGAATGTCGTCTGTGTCTTGTTTTCTGGCCTGTTATTTCATTATAGATTTTCATTTTAACCACCTAAACTAAAGGATATCATCAGAAGGGGTTTTTTGTGGAGATTTTGAGTAATTTTAATAGTTGAAATTATGAGTCAATTGAAGCTAGACTTATGATTTCAACTATTGAAATAACTCAAAATCTCCACAAAACCCCTTCTGATAATAATCATCTGCACACCAGTGACTGACTTCAAGAGACGCTCCCGGAGTTCTAGCGAGAAGCCGTGACCAGTGGAGTTCAACCAGGTCTGTTGTGAGATATCAGCTCACTGAAGACAATGGTGACGGTGGCGCAATTTCGTGGATTGGTTGAAGTTGGACATTAACACCGTTTGATGCTGGCTTGATGGTCTAATGGTTAAGCGCTCGCGCGCGAGAATGATAGGTCCTGGGTCTGAATCCAGAGGGGGGTGTGATCATGGATGCGCACTGGTGAGGAGTCCCATACTAGGACGAAACGGCCGTCCAGTACTTTCAGGTTTTTCATGGTGGTCTAGCTTCAATTGACTCATGATTTCAACTAAAGGATATCACTTTTTTTCTAACCCCATAATTATTCATAATTCTAGACAGTTTGCAGTCGAAGCGGAACCATAAAAATACATACACTTATATCGATTTCCAAATCATACTATTTATCCTTGCTTTGTTCAAAATTATGAAAAGATTCAGATTTGTAAGATTCTACCTTTTATTAGAATGAAAGGTTTACAATGATTGCTTAAAACTAGCATTAGAATATTACATCATTGTTTTTATGCATAAACTTGACAGTTTATTCAGCTGAGAGACGTACTAATCTATTTGAAAAATATCTTTTAACACGATAAATAATCTAATTATATACTCTAGGTGGTCAACAGTTTAATACTACTGCACCGAAAACCATATTCTCAATTCAATTCAATTCTGTAAACTGTCTAATTTAAGCTCTTTAAACGTGCCCTAAAATTCAGATGAATTATAATATCGTTTTCTAATTAAATGTTGTATGTTTGGAAAGCTTAATGAACTTTCCTAATGGAGTTTCGTCAACTAGACATTTTCATAAAGACTGACAATTTTCAATTAACACTAAGTACGTATAGAAAACGGAAAAGATGTCCTGTCAAATAAGCTAAAATAATAAAAACCCAATGAAATTTGCAATATAATGAATGTATTCAATCAATAATAGGAAAATTTACTTGCTGAAGTACTCAATATTGGAGCTGGTTTCCAGCCTGGTCCTAAAGCACCAGGATTGGGAGTTCTTGCTAACTCAGCACCATTTGTATTTGGGTTAATTAGATTAGACCAATTAATCGCTGACATTTCGGGATTATTACTATATAAACTAGGTACTGGAATTAATATCATTGGTACATTACTATTAATTTTGATTGCTTCTTGAAGTTGTGATGGTGTTATATACATAACGTTATTATTAGCATTGGTATTAACATCATTCATAATTCTATTATCAATGTTAGAATTTTGACCTGTAGGTGAATTAGGTATACTTAAATTTAAAACAGAATTATCTGTTTGTCTAGTTGGGGACTTATCACGTAGTATACTTTTGGGCGCATGTGAATTATTTCTTTGTGACTGGAAATTGGAATGATTTTCCAAATTAACATTATCACTATCATTTCCAAATATTTCAGTAGATTTTCTACTTAATAAATTATTCATTGATGGAGTTTTCTTTAATCCAGCTGTAGTTGGATGATCTGGTCGATAATTATAAGCTTTTAATTTCCAAGCAGGTACCTCACCAGATTCTCCTGCATCATTTTGTAATAACCACCAATCGCCTTTACTACTATTTAGAATCTAAACCAACAAGTGAAGAAACAATTATAGAATATTTAATTAAACTTGAAAATGAAGTGGAAAGCTTATATTTATGATCTGAAACATTCTCTTCTCAAAATGTGAATGCCTTCAACCATCTGCTTTATGAGTTCGTATTTTTCTTATATTAAAAAAAGTAACTACAGTCAAACTAGACATTATCATTAGTTCAATATTACATAGTATAAAACCCATACAACTGTAAGCATTCTATCATATGATCAACTGAATACTATTAACAGAATATGTAGTGGATAGTATGTACAGTTTGTGAATCTAAGAAAAAACATCGGAAGATTGCTAGTATGCTACGTAATTTGACATAGACCGTTTTAATATTTTACCATAAATAAAACTAATTTTCTTTTATATTCATTTTAATTTGCATCAGATGTGATCTGAATTTATATAACTCTTTGCAAATTTATTCGGTTTGAAAAAAGTATATATAAATGATTAATTTAAGCATGGGGCCTTGAATCCAATCTGGCGAAACTTCAGATATCAGGAAACATTGTCCACTAACCTATGATATGTTGTCCTTGTTATAGTCATCTTAAAATAAGTTACTTTTGCATACATTGAATTATTTAAGTATGTAATTGACAGGATAGGAGCTTATTTAATGCCTCGAGGCTACAATTTTGCTTTAATATAACAACTCAAAAAGTCACAAGTAAAGAGTAATTATCCATGTTTGTGTTAAAAAAAGTTTATAGTGAAGATTTAGTACCAGTTACAGGATTTTTTTTCATGTAAAACTGAATTTCATATATTAGCTAAGATCCTACCAGTCTGATAATGACTTCTGTCATAAACTATGGAGATAATAACACCGCTTTTATTTTGAAAAGATTCCATCAAATTGAGGAAATTGAAGATTTATGCATGTTCACTATACTTAATTATAAAAGTACGAAGATGTAAAAATCAAGTGCCAGTCAGAAACTTAAATACAACATGCTTCTGCTAAGAATGTAAACTATTTCAAATTAACAGCTAGTTACCGTTGCAGGTTTAACATTTGATTAATTGTAGCATCATATTTTATAAACCAGTAAGAAATATTTAGTAAAATGTATCTAAGTAATAGAAATTTTATAATATGAAAGAGGAAGTTATTCATCCACTGATTTGATACTGATCACTATTAGTACATAGTACCATGGCTCTTGATGTACCATATCATGTAAGCTGATTAAAAATTATTTTTTCATACTTTTAGAGGTTTCTTATTATGTTGGTAAAGTTTCGTTGTATTTAGTGATGAGTATTTTATTGCAGTGTAATATAGATTTGAGTTAAAAAACACAATTATAAATATATAAAGTAAGACCTTTCTTATGATCAAAATAATTTTTTGCGGAAATTTTTACACAATCGAAAAATCTTAATCCGTTGGACAAATGAAAAAATGTAACGGAGGCAAATATAACAACTCAGACAGAATAAATATTACACTAAGCATTAATTATTACTAGCTCACTCTTTAAAAGTAAGTCAAGAAACAGTTGTTCCGTACTTAAAATAATGGCTTACTTGTAGAACATCGCCTGGTTGTACAGTTAGCTCTTGAGGTTTAGCACCTACATGTAGTACATTCACAACACACCATCTAAAAGCATAGATAATAAAATTACTGAATTACTTCCGACAGAATTTAACATAACAATTTATTTAGATCAGATGTTTGATATCATAACAATACTATGCAGTCGTGCTAATCGTAAAGCAATAACTCGAAGTTCATTATTAGTACATACAACACATGAAACTTACTTGTGCATACGACTTATTATACAGTTGGAATAAATCATGTTAACGGTGACTACAGTCACATGATACATCACTATTTAATACAACAATAGTTTACGGTAATTGGTCTGTTGTAAATGAATACAAAGTAAATGACAACAAATCTCTGATTTCAAGTGAATCTTCAAATTAACACCAACTAACTCCTTTATTTCTTTGATATATATATATATATATATATATATATATATATATATATATATAGTATACTGCAGTTGATTCAGAATTAATTTACTTTTAGTTATAGTAATAAAATATACAAAAATATCTGATCATGAAAATATAATGGCGTAAGTACTTTCAAATTAAGATGATCAAAAGTTTTAAACATGACTTATTTATCATTTGTGTTAACAACATAAAATAAGTCGAAAATATATCACGTGAACAAATAAATGATTCATACATATATAATTGTGTACTTACTTTTCTTCAGAATCCCAACGACGTTGAGGGTGGCTACTACGTTGATCCACTGATTTCACTCTTTGTTCTGGAGATTTTTCCACCGTAACTATAAAGAAAGATGATAAGTGTAGTGTTAAGTATATGAAATTGATTAAGACAAAATAATTGCTGCATAGCTCATATAAAATCTTACAAGAAAAGTGCAAATATATGTAAAAGCATATATAATCTCTTTTGCCTGTTTGCTGATAATAATAATAACCGAAAATACGAAATAGTTGGATTATCATTAGTAAGATTTAATACTGTTGTATTCACATTGTCCATAGGTATGGTTTCTGTGCCTAGAAAAAGTGACCGGTTTAATCTTACAAACACTATAAATTATAGACATTTAGAATAAATCGATTAAAATCAAACAATCACACTACATAAGAAAACACACTTGTGGTGACAAATTATATACTGAATACTGCTGCCAGATCTTAACTGACTACACCACTACATGGAGATCACTGTATTTCAGAGTAGAAATGATCCGGAATCTAAACCAAATTCGTCACATGCTCCAGACAAATCTATCAGTGATTCTGTACAATTGAGTTTCAATGTAATCAGAAAGCGTATGTAAATAAGCATAAAGATAGCTAAGAAGAACAGGTATTAGAATTTTGTTTACTTCAATTTCGATATATCATTATCTTCTCGAGAAAAAACTATCTCAAATCAATTCAAGCGAATTTTCATATTTCAATTACTGTAATTTGAAATACCGTATAGTTAATAATAAATTTTCGATAAAACTCAATTTCCACATTTCACGAGTTTTATGATATTTATTCTGTGTACCAAGTAGTATATTAGTGATACATTAAGTCATAACGTATGGTATTCAAGTTTCAAGTAAATTGACCGGACAATTTTTGATGAAAGTTATTTCATCTTAAAATTTAAGCGGAAGAGAAATTAAAAAAAACTATTTGACATCTATTCAATTTGTGTATGCACATTAACAGTTGATCTATTGGAAGTTTCCCGGTGATCATATATATTCTTCAAATGAAACATAACGTATGAAGATTAAAACACTACACATAATGATTATTCGACTTAATTTCACTTTTAGAGTTTTATTTAGGAGTGATTACCCTCACTTACCAATTTGACGCACCGGTGAAGGAGTTCTGGCTCGTTCAGAAGGAATAGGAGAATGGCGTGGTGAGATTGCTTGTGTCTGAGAAGAAACAATGTATTTAAATTTATATCGACTTTACATTATATTCTTGTAAATGGTTAGAAATTTAATACAACGCGAACCTTACAGATAATACAGACTTTCGTGTTTAGTCCATAAAATTAATGAAAAGAGTGATATTTTTTGACAATATAACTCTGTCTACAATAAGTTAGTAATACATAATAAACACAGCTAAACTTTACAAGTACTTGAGTATAAAAATGTTATTGATTACCAAGACATCATGGAAAAAAAGGAGTATTAGCTTAAGATGGGCTAGTCATTTTTAGTTACTGTAGCTCAAAGTTTTGTGAATTTACTTTGATGTATAAAGTAAACGAAAGTTAAATAATCTTGAAAGTCAGAAAGAAACATTCTATTATTTTCACTATGTTCAAGTGAAAGTATCGTATTTCATATCATTTTATCTTTAACAATTTTGTTCAATTACTTGATTAAATAGTAATTAACGCCTTCCAAATGATCTGTTCAAATATACCGTATTTTTTAGACCAACTTCATCTTTTCACTGCATTTTCGAAATATTGTAGTGAGGATTCGCGATTCTACGAAGAATAATAGCCATACTATTTGATAACGACATGATCTGAACGTTTTAATACTATGAGTATATAGGTTTGCTTACTACTCCCTGAAAAGTATAAAATCGACCAAAAACGTTCCAGTTTTTATCTAAATGGTATTTTATTCTATTCACTGAATACATTATAATCGTCGGACTATTTTTTTACTAAATATGGAAGAATAAACTAGTGTAATATTTTAAGAAGATCAATTTAAATCAAGTCAAAGAGTTTGAGAAACGTTAAGAATAAGCACGTTTTTTACAATTAATGATAATGTGTTGTAGAACCAGTGAAGATTAACATCCTTAAGAATAAATAAAACCTTGAAAAACTCCCTTATTCATTGAAAACTTCGTCAGAGTATCAAACGATGATTCATAAAGGAAATTATATTATAATATTGATAATCATAAGCTTATTTTGTCCTTTAATAATTTCGTGTTAACTTGTCAATAAATAAAGATACCTTTGATCCTAAATTTTAACGACATAATCTAGAAGGAAAAGAAACCCCTTTTTTAAATTTTCTTGTTAATGACTTATAAACAGAGTCATTTTTAATGTGCTCATAATCATTTCAGGTGTATACTAAAAACAATAATTAAATTACAAAGCAACGCCAACATTCTTATTTATTTAATTATATAATTGATATGATTTGTTAGAAAAAAATAATAGTATGAATTAGCTCATATAGAAAGCAATAATATATTTAAAATAAAACATAACTTACTACTTTTATTTCAACATCTCCCTATAGAAAAGGATATAATTATGACAAGAAAAGAAATCGACGATAAATTACACGTTATTCTGTAAAACAAATTCTATAATGTGAATGAAATGAAATGACTGAGAAATGCTGAATTAATGATAGAGATTTATTGATTGTTTCGTCATTATTATTCTAATTACTGACTAATAATTTGCCAACAGTTGAATGATCTTAGTTGAATACTTTGTGTATATTATAAATAACAACTTCAGTTTCCTTTTTTAGTATAATAAATTACTTAACAGATGAAAGTTTATTCAGCTTAATTTGTAAAAATTGGTTTCATGAGAAATTGATCAATTCGTTTATTTTTTTGAATCGTTTTAGTATTTTATCAAATTCTTTTGCATCACCATCATCAGAGAATTAAGTCATTTATTTAGTATTTTGAAGTCGCTCAAAGTAATAACCATATTTAGTTCGACTGAATATTTAGAGAGAAATTAAAAACTATAAGTCTGTTGGTAAGAGTTTAATGAAAAAAATCAACTTATTATTACTGGATGTCATATGGAACTCAGAATGTGTAGTGTATGTATTATGCGTAACTTAAGACTGTGTAAATAGAGGAAATGTTTTGAAGAAATAACGACCAAATAAATTATATAGTGTACATTTTTATATTATAACAAAATTGATAATTACTAATAAAAATATCAAGTATTGAGCTCATTGAACAATAGTGACTTAATGGGTTGATTAAAAATAAACCTTATTGTGAATGATTAATAATTAGCACTAAACATAAAACAAGATTGATGATATTGATTTGGATAGTTCAGAATGTTGGAAATTAAACAGTAGTGCCATCAAAATACGTCTAGTTAATCAGACTAAGGCTTTACAAATCCTTTCTATGTATTCACGCTGAATAGTAAGCTGATTTGATCTGATCACAATTGTTGAATACATTTATTTACTAAGAATGTAAATACATTCAGAGATGTGGTTCTAAGTGCATGAAAATTCTATAAATCACTGTTCATCCATTTTCATTTAGTAGCTGGCTCAAATGAAAAGTGGTCCAGGTAATTTTAAGAGATTTATTAGCTTTCATATAACATCTATAAATTAGGTTCAACAGTAAAATTAGCTAAAACAAAGAAGTAACGCATCTTTTATATTATTTCATATTATATTTGTCGGTAGTATTCATTCTTATTGAAACCACAATTAAGTTAGAGATCCTAATACATATATTACTGTACATTATATCATTTATTAAGACTGGATAGCTAAATGTTATTATTAGTAATAATATGATCATAATGAAAAATAGGGTATCACGGAATCGATGCAAATTTCACATGATTAGTGTCTTTTGACAAATGCTTATTTATTTATTTATGTGAATAGTAAATAAACTGAATTCCATGTTTTAAATTCTAATTCTAATCGTCATTACTGTTATTACTATGATTTATATTTCTGAGATGCTGAATACGATCAATCAATTTTCTTCTTCTGTTTATAATAATTATAATAAGTATTACTATTATGACTATTATTGCCAATAATTTTCTACCGCTGGTTATATATTCTAAAAAACGTTTGTAGAAAAGAAATTCTCAAGCTTTATTATTCTTTTCTCAATACACAAACAATTACGTATTGATATAATGTTGGTAAAGTGGCCGTTTTTTCACAAGAATAAAACTCTGAATTATTATATTTTATTGGTATTCTGAGAATTCATGATACTTCAGAATTTGCAAATGTATTATCAATAGTATACACGTATATGATGGATATAGGTTAGAAGATTTGAGTTTAATTCATAATCTTTCAATCTTATCCAATATAAAATATAGTGTAAGTTAAATGTGTAGCTTTAAAAGTATAAAATTTAATAAGTCCCAGTAGTTATGGAATCAAGTTAAAAATTGGCGTAAGTGCTCTGAAGCTAATTAGTAATAAATTTAGTTTTTAACCAGAGACTAGGAGAGATATCAATGGGTAGAATGGTAAATATCCTAGATTACTGGCCGATAGAGATAAAATTGTAGAAGTGTTGTGTTCAAAGATCACCAAGTTCGTAATCAAACCATAGTTTTCTTAATATAAAGTTGTTTATTTAGAAACTCAAGGATCTCAAATTCATTTAGCTGAACAATACACATATAATGCTAGTTGATGAAACTTACTACGCTTGGCGTTACTATGTTAGCTTCGGCGTGCCATGTTTGGCGTTTATTAACAGATTTAGAGGCAAAATGTGGGGAATAGCGAGCGAGATGTTCGCTCCATTTTTCACTAAAAATAAACAAAATAAATTCAGAATGAAACTTAAAAAACTGCTTCTTTTAAGTTATCAATAAGTAATCTTAAAATAACTGTCTTTACTAATTTTCATATTTGGTAGTGATTGTATTACTTCGTTTAGAAAATATTTTGCGTATCAAACAAGCGAAAAGTGGGTAGGTTAACTAAGTAACAAATAACAAATAATTTTTTGTGGTAACCCAATGAGCAGATAAACGTATTTCTGATATTTCGTGACTTGATGTAATCCGCCTCCATACTCCGAAGAAGTGGCCTACATTAAGTCACGGAACGTCGGAAATACAGTTTTCTACTCACTGGGACATAACAAAAAATGTATTTATTATTAACTTCCTACCTAATGCTCAATTTACTTGGAACTACAAAAAAAAAACAAGATGACCAATATTTATTTCGAAAAGCTGGGAGAATTTATGTAGTCTCATATTCTCTCAAAAATGTCATTCATATATAAGCGTTAGCATAACTTAAGATGAAATAATGGCCATGCTATTCTATGGATTCTAAAATCTCTTAGCAATTGTGTGATCGAATTATATCATTAGAAAAATAACGGTTAAAACAAATGGAAGTTATCTCTAAAATATAATTGCTTTGTATTTTTTGTAAGTTGGGAGAAGTGAATGACACTTTAGTTTAGACGTTTTCGTCACTAGAAAAAGAATGCTTACTCAGTGGTCAGTAGTTTGCCGTTTTTTATTACCTCGATATAATTCGATAAAAATTAAGGATGAGACAAAACCACATTTGTAACCATTTAGTGACTGATGAGTATAGACGTCTCTACTCTTACAGGAGATCATCCGTAGCCTGAATAGTTAGATGAGAGGTTCTTTATTTATAGTACTAGGTAACATGTTTTCGAGTCCAATCAGTCCTCTCGAGGTCTTGTTGATATTTACCACTTGGCAAAAAATGTTCTTAGCTCCTTTCCGTTGTCTCAAACGACGAAGCGTCAAACAAAGTGCACTAGGACTCCAAGACATATACCAATAACTACACTACACCTTGACAAATACCATCTGATCAGGATTTGTACATAGAGAGACTGAAATTGGTTATCACTCAGTGACGAAGTGATATGTGTGAATAGGGTAGGTGTTTTCATTTCTTGATGGATCAGCTATTATTACTGACTATCAGGGTTTACATAGAATCCACTTAAAGACGAATGGATGGAATTCAAACATTTAGGAAAAACATATGTTGGGATTTTCATTATGAATCGAGAATATTTTACAATCTTTGGTTGATAACTCAAAAATCAGGACAGGCTTTAATGCACAAGTAAAAATACAGTGATTAGCTGAGAGTGCACACGAATGTGTTGATAAATAAAAACAGAGATTATGTAGTCACACCTGAATAAATATGAAGAATTTCCAGTAGAGAAACAACTGTTATGTTCTATTCGTGCCAGTTAAATATAGTAATAAATTAAAACCATTGCGAGTCAGTTACTTTATTTCCACAGCCAAAAATATAACTAGCATTTGTAAGCAAAAAAAGGAAGGACATAGAATAAAAGCTACAGAGAACTCTGAAACCATCACTAACCTCTTAAGTGATATGTTTGGTAGATCACATTAGGTTGGGGGTACTACATTTAACAAACAACTAAATAACGTCTGTTCTTTTAATTATTCCTAAATCATTAGACCATAAATTCAGTTAACGCTTCAAGAAGTAACAGGGTAGACGAGAGTCCATCCGTTTACTTCAAATAAAGAGGACTTGTTATCCAATCGCTACTATCAAAACTGTTCACGCTTTCTCTGAAGACAGACGTTTATCCTTGGCGTTGGAAAATTCCACATAAAATTTTAAATTGGATTGCCGAAATAAAATGAACAAGCATAATTATAGACCCAATATTATCACACTAATCATCCCTAAGATCATTTTAAAAGTAAGTGGCAAAATATCAGGAAATTCACCTGTCGAAAAACTTATTAAATGTTTGTAAAACAAATTTCTGAGAGCTAGATCTTGCATGACTTGTTAACTGGGCTTATTTAACATTCTTTGCTCAACGTAGTTTTGCGCAAATTAGTTTTATGAACGTATTCTAACATACCTAAGATATTTGACTTGGCTAACCACCAGCTTCTTACAGATAAACTCAAACCATATGAGGTCATAAGTCCCTTGAATCCGTGGTTTGACTCATTCCTTACTTACCATCACTAAATAGTTAAAATGAACTCCTACATCAAATGGTCATCCACTCACATGCATTGTAATATGAAACACAAGGTAGTAGCATTAGTAGTATAATGTAGTATTTTATGTCATTTACTCTTTGTAGGCTGTATAAAAGATATCTGTGATTGAACTATGATATTCTTGCTTGAGAAGATGCGTCTTGAAAACAGTGACAATGAGAATGAGGTTATGGAAAATTTTGAACAGGAAAAGGATTAGAATCAACTGTCTCCGGGTAACCAGTGCTCAAAGGACTGATTAATGATATTTAGTAGCTAACTTAGCCTAAACTACACTTACTAATATACTGTTGTTTTGTACCCGACACTAATGTTCACGGCTACGTTCAGAAGTATAATTATTATCCTAGATAGTGTGCTTCTAACATTGTTCAAAAAAGACTATGAGTTAAATCTCTTGTAGCAGTTAATTAGAATGCTTATCATGTAATTAGTTTTGTAAAAAACCTAGTCAGTTAGATAAAGTTGGTACATAAAGAGAAACTTTACTTCGAGTATTTTGTTAAATCTGTACTCCTTAAGAACCTCTAGAATCAACTTACTAAAAATACTTCAAATATGTGACATATCCATATGACATTTGCAATTCGTCTAAAAATGTTTTGTACACCCGAATGGGATCTATAGAGGAAAGGCTGAATGAATTTATGATGCAATTTTTTCTATCCTCCTGTAGGCATATATTTTTCATATAACTATATATACGAATGTACAACTTAAGTAAATGATTTGAAAAGAAAACTTTCTTCGCTGAATTCTCTTTTTCTTATTAAATAAATGTTTACACATTTTGAATATGCTAAATAGTCTTTAATAATAAAGCATCTTCGAACGCTTCAGAACATAAGTTTATTTAAACTTCCAGAGACAGTAGCGCACTCGAAATATCTGTATTGTTTTCTTAAAAGGTCTACCTAAATAAAATATTCTTAACCAGTTAATGTCATGTGTATAATAATTAACCATTTAATGTTATTTTACTTGGTAAATTTCATGAAAGAGACATCAGTATTTGCATACATACATTATTATATGTCGTAAACATTATGAACTTATATCAAGAAAGCACAATGTGACTACATTTTCTGTCAAGGTTTCGTTTTGTTAACTGAAAATCATGCGGGCTACATTATCAAATCTAAACAAATCAATAATACTTGACCGATAAAACCAGAATGAAATAAATAATCAAATAAAAGCATTTGTAATTTATATAAAATGTTCCGAGGACTTTTTGTTAAAGCGTTATTGATAACATGAACAAAAGCTAGCGTTTGTAATTTTTACATTGAGATGATTGTTACATATAATTCAAAAATGACAATAGATTGTAAGACAGTAAAACAATTTACAAGTTATACCGATAGCAGGACGTTATATAAAGTATAATAATGTCATGTTTTAATCGTGAATATCAAATACTCGTTAGGACATTTTTGCAATTTATGATATTATCATGTAAGGCGTTTAGATTGTTAGTCTGAATCCTATTTAAACTTTTTGTGATGTATGTATATATATATATTATATACGGTAAGGAAATTATTTTGGCATTAGTTAGAAGACAAACATGGGTCATCCTTTCAGTATTCAGAGAATTTCACATAAACTCAGAACAAGAAATTAATGCTAATAAATATTGAAAACGAAATACTGAAAAACAACACATTTTTCGACTTTCCATGTTTACATTCCGACTAATGTTGATCACCTATGTTTAGTTAAAAAGCTGACCGACTTTAAGCGACATTGTCTGCTTACTGTTAATAACTCGGAAAGTAGTATTCTTTAGTCAGTTAGTCAATCAACACCTTTCGAAAGTTGGCCAAAGCAATAAATGTGGCCGGTTAGATTCAAAGTTAGTAATCTGGAGGTGTTATCCTTTCTATGAGGCGAGAAAATTGTCAGTTATTTCTGGAACAGTAGTAAGAAAATAGGAACTAGGATAAAAAAGTCCAGTAGCTAACTGATTTTCGGGTTGTTCCCATTCTTGCCAAAACTGTATAAAAAAGATAGTTTATGGCATGATAGAAGTTATAGATTACCTGTTATCTATCTAACTTTTGTCATATTTAAATATTGACATACTTTCAAAAAAACTTTCATGATACAATAAGAAACAAAACATGTGATCAGAAAATTGAAGACTCGAATGGGGTGTAGACAATTATTAGCATACCAAATGTCATAGAATAATAGTTAACTAAGTAAATTTTAACTTACGGTGGAGTATTCCAAGCAGGACCTAGTCCTTTCCAAAACTCGATTTTATTTTGTAATCTTTTTGAAATCGTGGCAAGCGTAGCCTCTTCCAATAAAGGTTCAACAATCTCACGCACCATATATTGGTCATAGTCAGGTACAATATTATGTCGACAAACTTTATCCAACCACTGAACGGTGTTGAATAGTCGAATGAAAATTTTCTTTGATATTTCTTCTGGAATATGTGGTTGAATTTGTTCATTCATATTAAAAGCATATTTTACTTTTCTTATTATTTCTTGAGCGTCTTGTTTACTTGGATAACTTACGTTGTTCAAAACTCCTTCGGCTAAATTAAAAATAAATGCTTACAGTTTTAGTTAACCATTCTAATACAGACAATAGATACTTTTGACATGAACTTTGTATTTTCACACGGTCATTACATCACGGCAATCTTCCTTTTACATATCTCCAACCGGAGCAGCAGAAATAGAGGGGAGGTTATAAATACTTTAACGATTAAGACGTATAATTCATGTGAAGTATGACACTATAATGTCCGACAATTTATAAAGAAAAATAAGTGCATCATCTAGATACATTAAATGGGGAACTAATTAATACATTTTTAGTTAGTAGACTGTTACTTTCAAAAGATAAAAGGTAATAACAATTACTGGCGGTAATAAACATTTAGAACTACATAAGATTGATATGAAACCATTTTTTGATAAATATTACTTAAAAATAACCAAAATAATTAATAAAAAAACTACTGACTTCTGTTTTCTATTTCTCTTTTATTGCCGTATACTACAATCACTGATCTCTACAAATTCATGTAACCCACACCAGTAGGATAACGTAAAATATTTTCAGCTCTGAATGAGGATACGTCAAGGCGTGTCTGATGACGTTGTCAAAAAAATATAAAGTTTGACAGCTAGATAGCCTAACCTAGGGACTTGAGACCTCTAAAACCCAGATAGTGTAGCTGAAAGTTTGTCAGTAACTTGGTATAGAACCAATCACCAACTTAACGATCACTGCCGTAAACAATTACACGTTTCTAGTTATAGCTTTAGGTAATACATATTGTGAAGTGTCACAAGTATTAATTGATTTTGACCAAAAATACTACTAATTATTGTAATATCTTGAGTTAAGTTGTTTAAATGGTGTAAACTTTTATTTATCTTTCTTAACTGTTATAAAATGTTAGAATTAAAGTACCTTCATATCATCACAAAATTTTGGTAAAAAAAACTATGTTAACTGAAAACAAAATAATCTTAAAATTTAAAGCAGCTGTATTATTCATCCAGTTAAATGGGTTTTTTTTACCGATGACGGATATATTGTCAAAATAGTGATCAAGTTGTTATAAAATAAATGTAATAAAAACATTTCATCTGTATTGGTAAATAAATAACCACACAGTTATCAACTCCATCTTATTAATGGGTGGTTAAATGTGATTTACCTTCAGAATAATGTTAATTTTCGTATTTTAAAGTTATTTTACGTAAGCATGATATGTCAGTATTTAAATACTTAAATAATAGTTCAGATATAATGCTACAATTGTGAATCATCTGTAAAAAAAATCTGTTTACTTAAAAAGTCAATAAATAACTAATCTTTTGTCTTTTTGATAAATATGAATATTTCGTTTGAGAAATTATAGAATAAAAGTTTTGTAAAATATTTAAGTAATATAGTTAACATTTTCGATTTTATCATTTTGATGATGCAACAGAAATATCAGCAACCAATTCGGAGTTTGAAATAAATACATGAACTGGTATTCAGAGTTAGATAGTTATTTAGTGATTACAGCATCATGATCTGAACGGAGTTCATAATGAAAATGAGAAAAATGAATAAGTATACAAAATATATTTAGTTATGATTCTCAATCACATAGTGTAAAACAACAAACGAACTTTTGAAGATAGTTTTCATTACAAGTTAGCACTAGCCATTATTTAAAATCACAGACCATTGAGAAGATTTTTCATCTCATTATAAGATTTGGCATTAGTATAAATCCAGTAATTTATCGATAGGTATTTCCTTGTCAGTCAGTTGTATACCTTCACAATTATCCAGTGTTCTCAGTCGGTCATAACAGACGGATTACGAATCAGTGACCTAATGTTGTCATTCTCATTGCAGAATCTGAACGGCTATGTGGGTTGTGTAAACACCAATAAAGAATTTCAAACTAAAAAAATATGGCTGTACAGTGACCGCTGGTTCTCGATAGTTTTCGAGCTAATATCAAAATTGGTTAAAAATGAACTTTATACTGAACATATTTTAAAAAACCCGTACACTAAATATTTGCTTTTAATGTAATATCTGGTGCTGAGCAAAAAAGATTATTTTCAATGAGTTATGAATGGAAATAAAATATTTCACGTCAGGTCAATAATGAAAAGCATTTATTAATTTTCTGAAATCCCTAACTAGTTTTTACTAAATTTTCACTAAGAGTGTATTTAACTAATAATATGAAACTTTATCATGGTCAAAATGTACTATAAATCTCTAAAGTTGAGAAATTGGTAAAAAGATAGTGTTATTCCTCTAGACATATTTCTGAAACCAATCGATAATCATTTTAGGAAAACATCTTCGTACAAAATGAGCTTCAATCCTAAGTGGTAGGGTGTTAAGACACAAATAAGTATGTAATTTATGGAATTATTAATTCTCCACTATCCCATTTTCAGTAATATTAGTGTTGATAGTAATACTATTAGTAGTACAAATATGAATGAAGTCAGAATATAACTGTCAACAACTGATAATGATGAAGGATTTCTATTTTAGTAGAAAACAAATTGAATAAATGACAACAGTTAAAAGACCGGCAATCAACCAAATAAATATCTAAGAATTTCTTACCAATTATCAAGTATTTCAAACCGTACTAAGGCAAATTTCTATAATTAGAAGGGGTCTTGCGGAGATTTTATTAATTTCAATAATTGAAATCATGAGTCAATTGAAGCTAGACCACCATGGAAAACCTGGAAGCACTGGACGGCCGTTTCGTCTCAGTCCGGTGGTTAAGCGCTTGTGCGCGGGACTGGTAGGTCCTGGGTTTGAATCACGCGAGGGGCGAGATCTTGGATGAGCACTGTTGAGGAGTCCCATACTAGGACAAAACAGCCGTCCAGTGCTTCCAGGTTTTACATGATGGTATAGCTTCAACTGACTCATGATTTCAACTATTGAAATTTCTACAAGTATTACACTACACAAGATTTATTGGATTCATTAGTCAACACCAAAACATCTCAAATATTTATTCTAGTTATTGTTCGATATTTCTTGTTTATTATAGAAATATCTGGTGTCTTCGCACGTGGGACAACAGGAATAAAATCATTAAATATCACATGTACCGTGAGGGTAAAATCTAATGTAAATTTGTGGGTTCGAAAGATTGAACCAAATTGTTCCACCAGCCTATCGATTCTCATACGATTGTAAAATATATGAAAGAACCATACCCTTGCCATATACATTAGTGATGAAGTAGTGATCAACATGCATGTTAGCATAGTTGATAACTGGAATTCCTAGAACTCCTGAAACGAAATTGTATGATGTAATAAACTTATTCTGTTATATAAATTTAAGTCCTTACACAATTGAAATAATATTAATGTTATGCATAAAAATGAAGTTCAATGTTGACAAATAAGTTCTCATTATTTAGTTGTGGTACGACGAATAATTCGATTTCAAACGTTGCTTCTGAACAGTTTTTTACTTGCAATGAATATAATATAAAACTCTTTGAAGTAGCTATGTGGCGTGTGCTACTTATGTAGACATAAATAGTATATGACGTGAGTACTGAACAGAATGTCTGGCAGCAGAGAGACGAGAAGATCGAACAATGAAGAATGAAGAAAGAATGCAATTTGTATGAAAATGCAAGAACAAAGGGATTCTAAGTCATTTGAGACAATTGGTGAACAATTTGCAAATTAACGATTTAATATATGGTTGTTGGATTTTACTAACTAGCTCTGTAATTTGTTGTTGAATATACTCGATTGTCCCCACCTGTGTTCTGTTCCCTACAGCTATAAGGAAATTATAAAAACTTGATGAAGTTTCTTTAATGTATCAGTAATAGGAAGCAACCTATAGTGATATTAGTGATTTATTCAGTATGATAACCATTCGGTGTAAAGTTTTGTTTAATTCGGACAATTTCAGTGTTATATCATTGCGTTGTGATAATTTATGCCATGCATTCACTCAGTTTTGACATTTATACAGTGAGTCACTCATTTAGATTATAATTATTAAAATATAACCGATGAGTTTTTCTGCTGGTCACCATCTATCTTTGCTAACGAATAATAGCTGCAAAAAAATCTGTGTATATGAATTATATTTTCACCAATAATACAGTTTTTACATCATCAGCCCAGTCTTAAACTTTAGATATCCCATGGTACAGTGAGATATAAGGTTCTAGGGGCAGCAATCATGTTTTTCGTCGATTCTGAGTTAAGTGTAATCACTAAAAACAATTTTGCAAACATTCAAACGGTTTCCAACAGATTAGATGAAGAGTTTCTGAAATATAATTTGCTTTTACTGATTAACACTTCAACATATGACTTATCATATTGGGAAATGTGATGTTTCAAAGTCTATTGGTATTATATTACATATCCCACAATAAAAGCATGAGTCTTAGATTTTGAAGTACTTAAAGCTATAACTTCACTAAATGTTTTTTGTGATTTAAATAATTTTGAATCATATATATACCTGTCCTTTCTTTTAACTGTAAACTTGAACACGATTGGTAGGTCATTAGTATCTACTCTTGTTCATCTTATCGACAAAAGCCTAGAAAGACAATTATAACTTGCTAACGATCAAGACTACTCATGATACCCGTTTATTAGCTATTAAGATTTTCAGACCGCAAAATACAAGCAACAAATACACATGAAGGCGGAGATTTGTAAACCAGGCGGATGATTTTTTGAGTCAGTAGGTTTAATTGAAGACATTGTAGTGGCTAATTTCCCCTATATCTGACTACAATAAATAGTATCCCGTTAATTGAGTATTTAATGCAGGCTAAATCTAGTAGAATTATGGATTTACTCGAGATTATTCAAAATCCTGAACATCAATTATAGGTGATATGGACAATATCATCATTCTCCATCCTAAACAGAAGTAAGTTTTTCAGAAATTTATTGCACAAGTTTTTAAGCCCTGTTCAACAAACACAGCACCATTAAATAAAAATAAGGAATTAATACATTTAAGCAAAAAAACGGATGATATATAAATGTA